TATCACTGTAGTGCTGGCTGTGGGTTGTGGTATCACTAGTGCTTGCTGTGGGTTGTGAGATCACTTCAGTACTGGCTGTGGGTTGTGATATCACTACAGTACTGGCTGTTGTGATATCACTTCAGTGCTGGCTGTGGGTTGTGAGATCACTGTAGTGCTTGCTGTGGGTTGTGATATCATTTCAGTGCTGGCTGTGGGTTGTGAGATCACTGTAGTACTTGCTGTGGGTTGTGATATCACTTCAGTGCTGGCTGTGGATTGTGGTATCACTAGTGCTGGCTGTGGGTTGTGGTATCACTGTAGTGCTGGCTGTGGGTTGTGGTATCACTAGTGCTTGCTGTGGGTTGTGAGATCACTTCAGTACTGGCTGTTGTGATATCACTTCAGTGCTGGCTGTTGTTGTGATATCACTTCAGTGCTGGCTGTGGGTTGTGGTATCACTGTAGTGCTTGCTGTGGGTTGCGATATCACTTCAGTGCTGGCTGTGGGTTGTGATATCACTTCAGTGCTGGCTGTGGGTTGTGGTATCACTGTAGTGCTGGCTGTGGGTTGTGGTATCACTGTAGTGCTGGCTGTGGGTTTTGGTATCACTGTAGTGCTGGCTGTGGGTTGTGGTATCACTGTAGTGCTTGCTGCGGGTTGTGAGATCACTTCAGTACTGGCTGTGGTTGTGATATCACTTCAGTGTGGGTTGTGATATCACTACAGTGCTTGCTGTGGGTTGTGATATCACTTCAGTGCTGGCTGTGGGTTGTGGCATTACTGTAGTGCTGGCTGTGGGTTGTGATATCACTACAGTACTGGCTGTGGGTTGTGATATCACTACAGTACTGGCTGTGGTTGTGATATCACTACAGTACTGGCTGTGGTTGTGATATTACTTCAGTGTGGGTTGTGATATCACTACAGTGCTTGCTGGGGGTTGTGATATCACTTCAGTCCTGGCTGTGGGTTGTGGCATCACTAGTGCTTGCTGTGGGTTGTGATATCACTTCAGTGCTGGCTGTGGGTTGTGGTATCACTGTAGTGCTGGCTGTGGGTTGTGGTATCACTGTAGTGCTGGCTGTGGGTTGTGGTATCACTGTAGTGCTTGCTGTGGGTTGTGAGATCACTGTAGTGCTGGCTGTGGGTTATGAGATCACTGTAGCGCTGGCTGTGGTTTGAGAGATCACTGTAGTGTGGGTTGTGAGATCAGTGCTGGTCGAATGTTGCTGACTGATGGTAAGGACAATCTTGCTACCTGGCTGAGTGAAAGTCTTGGGTCAAGGCAGACCCGATAGGCGCACCAGATTTTACCGTGGACACATCTTAGATTTCGATGTGTCTAACATCTTAGAATGACCTAAAACTCCAAATACAGGTAGTTTAATGTCATCCACCAGAATAACAAAGCTTGATTTTAAATATTCAAATAAATTAAGAATTTTGAGGCATCTCAAAATCTGGTCGAAAGGGAACTGAAATGCACAGGTGCCACTTGATGTCCTTTTCTACCAGTAGAGGGCGCTTACTTGCATAGTGCACATCCCGACAAATTGACAACACCCTAATTTGTAAAGTAAGGTAAACTTTACCCAAATATGGTAGTATAATGGTTAATTGTTATAAACTAGGCATCCCATAAAATTAAAAAGAACCTATGACTTATTCAGAAATCACGACTCAAGTCTTGTGTGGAACTTTTGACATACTATTATTTAATCAGAATCCTCTATCATGGTGAAAACACTATCACAACTGAGTGTTTGGAACTGCTCGTTTCTAATGCATTTATTATATTACACCTATTACTTCACACTCCAATTTAGGCTTCAAGTACAATTTATTGTTTACTGTATTACAATTTGGAAACTGAATTAACATGTATAAATTAAAGCTATGACTGAAATAGCCTCTGATAATCATGCATGTAATTTGTTACACTATCATTTCAGGCACACATGTAATGTATACAAAAATAAAAAGTCACATATATCAAAGGGCAATCGTTAAAAATAATATTTTTATAGAGCAATGTTTCTGTCATATGAATGAAACAATAAAAATATACAAATTAATGCATCATAAAATGAGGACAATATTATTCTAAACACAATAAAGATATGACGCAAACATTCTATCACAGTTGTTTATTATGATGGAGAGTAATATCTGTCTGACACCAATACATGTCAAAATCCAGAATGCATGAATCTTGTTAAATGATTTCCAATATTAAGAATTTAAATGAAATAACAAATATGTAAACACCACTGCACTCATTCAATCACTGGCAATATCAGTGTAAGACACTGCAACTAAAACATTCAACTTGCTTTCTATGCTAGTAATGTGTTTGGATTATTTTCTTGATTGTATTGTTATCCATTAGGAATGGATGACTGTTGCTTGTTAGGATGTGAAAATCATAAATAAGCTCTGCTGTCACAGAAGATGAGCACACTCTCTACTCCTAGCAACTTTAACTTAAATTTCAGTTAACAATTACTTATACATGAAGTTATAATTTGGGTCTGGTCTGTAAATGTGGGTGCGGTCAGATCACAAAAATACAATCAGTCATCAATAGAGATTCTGTGATTTTCTGTCATCAAATCTTTACATTGACATCAAACTGTGTCCAGGGCATTTATAAGTGTATACATTTGCAAGTCTTTAAATGTTCTTACTAGCACTATGATTGGGGAAGGGGGGGGGGTGTCCTCACACTCGGTAGTTCTCCCAAATGAGATTTATTTTTAAATTCTGTTTTCATTCAAGAATTAGCTCGATATGTGCTTCTGCTAAAAGGTACATGTAGTTAATTTGTCCTTCTTTGAAATATATATTAAACCATCTGAGAATAAAAACTAAACTGCAGGGCAGTATGTGGTGAGTAATATGCAGCTATGATGTGTATGTCATTTTGTCAAGGTAATATTTACTTGTTTTTAAATTACAAATATAAGTAGTACAATTAATTTGAATAGTAAATGCTGTTATCTCATTTTTTTTTTTTTAGATGTCAGTAAATCAGATTGGTTTAGCTACAAATTTGGCATTTGCCCCACATTTCAATAAAACCATTTTCAAGAAGGCATTTTTTAAAGAAACTTATAAAAGTTTTGTAACAAAATGTAAATTAAAAGTCATGTTACATTATATTCAAGTTGTTATGTACTATAGAAGTAATACACACCTTGTTATGCGAGTCTGTGTGTCTTCCTTTTAATCATATTCCAAAATAACTTAATTCCTACCTAACCATTAGCCATGTCACTACTTCTAGTCCAAAGATTTAATTTTTTTGTTAGGTCAAATGTCATGCTAACTATTGTGATTGGTCAAATGATATCAAATCACTTCAAATTCATAAAAATTTAATAAAATAACCTTCTTGAAAATAATTTTATCAATACGTACTGATTTAAAAAAAATCTTTTGAAAATGATTACTTTGATTGCATTTATTACAGATATGTAAACAGAACATTGCATTCATACAACAATAAACTTTAAAAACAGGCATTTTTTTTTTACTTCATCATACACAATATTCTTTGATCTAGCTTACTGGTTAGTTAATTGGTCCTGTGTTTATTATTTGTTTACATTCTTCCAGCTTTGGCAAAGATTCTGGTCAATAGGTTTCATTCCATTCACACAAATTATGTGTGATTTCACATTATTTTTATGTTTAAATATTTAGAATAAGCAATATATTTTAGGTTATTATTTTTTTTAATTGACGCAGTGTTAATTATCAAAGCTATAAACAACTGTGCATTAATAACTGTTATATATATTATATATATGATTTACAAAGACAGCACTGATATACATACATATTCCATCACAAACTGTTTCACAGTTGATACCTAACAAATTCTTTCATTCTTACATTTCTTGTAATAATTCATTTCTAAAATATTCACATTTATATCATATTGCGTAACATTTCAAGAATGCATGTATATCCTCATTTATTTATTGGCAGTCTTGCATAATTAGTTGATATTAATTACTTCAAATGTGCTGAGATAATAAGTTGTAACCGCCAAGATGGAGCTGTGACCATCAATATTATTTAAAACTGACTATTGTGTCAGATTATGTAAATTACATTTACAATGTAACAAAAATGCCCACATATACCAGTGTTCAATTCTAGCTGCCAATCTGGTGATTTGATGCACACAAATAAATTTCAAATAACAAGTCAACACTCAGTTTTGTGGAAGTCACATGACTGTATTCTACCAATTAGAATTCAGTTGAAGTGTGGCACCCACTAATGTTTAATAATGGGTGCACTTCGTCCTTTCCATCTTTGGGGAGGTTCTCTTGGCCCTGCTAAAACAAACAGCCTGTTAGGATATCCTGAAAAAAACAAAAACATGGATTCAGAATATAAAATAATTAATATAATATTAATATAAAATAATTTAAAACTGAATATAAATAAATACACATTATACATCTGAAAGATCACCTTGGGTAATGTTTTTACACTTTTTTCTGAACATTGTTTCGTACAATCAACAGTTTCCACGCCCAGCATTAACACTGATCTCATACAGTAGTTCAATTTACACTTTACTGTAAATAATATTAATTTGGAAGACCATACTAATTCATGCACCCAATTCAATTTGAATCAAAGAAAGCTTAGAAAGAACTCCCGTGTGCTGAGAGAGTATTGAAGACACATTAAAAATTACTTTTACTTAAGATATTGAAGGAATAGCTGAAAACTAATATGTAAATCAAGTAACTGATATGAACAGATTTGAGTGTAAAACTAATAAGGCCTGCGTAATGTAATATCTATGTACCAAGTTTCATTGAAATAAGACTGGAACAAAAAAAATATGAATTATTATCAGAGAATTAATATGAACAAATTTCAACCCAAAATTAATTGGGCCTGTCTATTGTTCTAGAGCATTTATGTACCAAATTTGATTCAAATGTGATGATCAGTAATTGAGATATCAGTGTTAGGTGATTAATAAGCATAAATATTTACCAAAAACTAATTGGGTCTCTGCATAGTTCTAGGTTCAGTGAAATGTGATGATAAATACTCTATAAAAGTTTCATTAAAATCCAATTAGTGGTTCTTTATATATCAGTGAAACATTCATGGAAACTAATTATGCTAATTAGGTAATTAATATCCACAATTATTTACCCTAAAACTAATCAGGTCTCTGCACAGTCCTTAAATAACTATGTACCAAGTTTCATTGAAATGTGATGATTACTACTTGAAATATCAAAAGCTGAAAATTCATTAATTATGCAAATTAGGTAATAAGCCATTTTTCGCAAGCTGCGAGATCATGCGTGACCACAGTTCACGCACCTTAGCAACCAATTGAGTCATGTGATACAGGTCAAACTTTCAGGTCAATATGGCAGCAACCACATTGTCCTATGTGTTGTAAACCTCATCTTCAAGCAATATATCTGTCCCAATGGGAGTCAAACGGTGCGCTTACGGCGAATGTAAGAGTGATTCTCATTTTCAGTACAACAATTATATGAATGCTGAGTTTATTTTGCGATTCCCTAAACCAAAAACGCAGTCTGAAAAGTGCGATTGATGGATCAGTGCCTGTTCTCGGACAAATAATTTTGGTCGACACAGAATCATTCACGACATGTACATGTACGCTTGTTTCCTGCATTTTGAGGCAGGAAAGGATCATTCGGAGTCGTATTTAACCCAGCAAAAGCGATTGCGAGAGGTGACGAATGTTGTGTATTCGATTGAGGACATCGCCGAGCGACAATCAAAAGAAGCGCCGGAAAACATTGAAACCTGTTTAATAGGGTTTGCAAGTTGTACTGATCGGAACTTTACCATGCTTGTTTTCATGCCAATATTTATTGTTTTAATTTTATGATCGTGTATTTTATTGCGACCCCGAACAAAATGTGGTTTAGCATGGGATTGACCATTTTTTTTGTTATTTACAACTCACAAGTGTACATCTTAAATTGTCTTATCATTAGTATCCCGATGAAAATAGCTATGCATTTAATGATAACAATATTGCCACAGAGTTAGGGAATACCTCTCCTGACAAAGAGCTAAGCCTGAATGTTGGCAAGTGAACTAATTCTATTACTAAGCGCAGAATTAAATTATAATATTTAATACTCGTACAATTTAATACTTATACTACCGGATTTTAAAATTAGTTTTAACAAACTTCCATTCTATGCCGAAAAGTTATGAATTTTCAAGCATGCTTGTTGTTTACAATAAGCAATTATATTGACTGTCATTTGTACATGTATGGATGCTTGTGCGTATCATGCAGTGTCGACAGATTCCTGTTATCATTTGAACTAATGTGTGAATCATGCAGTATTGGTCGTTTCCTGTTATTTGGAACCTCAAAAGCTGCTCACGCTAGTAATGGTGAAAGTAGCAGTAATGTGAAGTACTATTATGTGCCTTTAACATGAGATGCCAGTACACAGACAGATGTTACATTTGAACATGCCTGTCACCAAACAACTTAAAATCTTCGCACGAGTTGTAGGCCCTGAGCTTCTTCCGGTCATAGTCGGACTGATAACACATTAAATCATCGGACAATTCGAATTCTGGAACATTCCTGAAATCACTATAGAGTAGCCCGGTAATTTCAAAGGATCGATGAAATTGTAACCAAGTTTGCTAAGTCTTGAAGCAACGTAATTTCTTAGGATCATGACACAAAAAATCAGGGTCTTCCTCAAGCTCCAAATCGTGCACAGCTTCAGCGATTACAAGAAGAATATTCTTTTTATTATTTACGCAGGAAGTTTTTGAGCTGTGGCACGGTCATTCTGTTGAAGTCAGCCATGGTTGAAAATGTGAAGCAAATGCAATAAATCATTCAGAAATTTAACGCACGAAACTAGATACACGCTCGTTTTAGCGCTATTTTGATTCAAAGCTTGACCTGTATCACATGACTAGCAACCGGTTGCTAGATAATTTAACGGCCTTGCGAGATCTCTACCGAAGCGGAAAATAGCCTATTAATATTTACTCATATTATCCTAAAAACTATCAGGTCTGTGCCGTGTCCTATGACATCTATGTACCAAGTTTCATTGAAATGTGATGATTACTACTTGAAATATCAAAAGCTGAAAATTAATTAATTATGCAAATTAGGTAATTGATATGTACTAATATTATCCTAAAAACTATCAGGTCTGTGCAGTGTTCTATGACATCTATGTACCAAGTTTCATTGAAATGTGATGATTACTACTTGAAATATCAAAAGCTGAAAATTAATTAATTATGCAAATTAGGTAATTGATATGTACTAATATTATCCTAAAAACTATCAGGTCTGTGCAGTGTCTTATGACATCTATGTACCAAGTTTCATTGAAATGTGATGATTACTACTTGAAATATCAAAAGCTGAAAATTAATTAATTATGCAAATTAGGTAATTGATATGTACTAATATTACCCTAAAAACTATCAGGTCTGTGCAGTGTCCTATGACATCTATGTACCAAGTGTCATTGAAATGTGATGATTACTACTTGAAATATCAAAAGCTGAAAATTAATTAATTATGCAAATTAGGTAATTGATATGTACTAATATTACCCTAAAAACTATCAGGTCTGTGCAGTGTCCTATGACATCTATGTACCACGTTTTATTGAAATGTGATGATTAGTTCTTGAGATATCTGGAAAAGCCAAAAACTGATTAATCATTATGCAAATTAGGTAATTAATATTGCACAGATTTTTACCATAAACTAATCTGCACATTGGTTCAGAGCATCTATGTGCCAATTAAATTTCATCAAAATCCAATGAGTGGTTCTTTAGATATCAGTGGAACAATCATGGAACAGCTAAAAATCAGCTAATTATCATGCAAATTAGGTAATTAATATGCATGGATTTTTACCAAAACCTAATCAAATCTGTGCATTGGCTCAGAGCATCTATGCACCAAGTTTCATCAAAAATCAATGTATGGTTCTTGAGATATCAGTGGAACAGACACACACACACACAGACACACAGACAGACAGACACACTAACTGCAAAGACTCCCTTTTTGTGCTTTCCACACAGGAGTCAAAAAGATATTAATCGTATTTTATTTGATCTGTTTAAAAAATATTAAATATTTGTATCCTTTTAATTTACACAATGCGCAATGCGTGTAAAATAAGGAAGCATTGCTCTGAGAACTTGCATGACTTTGGTGCCATGTTGTGGAAAGTTCATCATTACCATTTATGGATAGTCACGGGTAACCCAATGCATGAATTCATATCTTTGATTGAGTAGCTGTTTTACTCTATGTCAGTACAAGCATACCAGACACAAAAAACTTTCAGTTGTGTAATTTTAAATTTCTGATTGCGATATTCTGACTTTATTATATATTTCTTGTGGAAAACATGTTTATCTTTTTTTTTCAGAATTGAATAATTTCTACAAAGCTAAGATTTTTGCTATACCTGTCTATGCTGATTTGTATTTTATTAATTACTCCCAAGATATTTGTTTCTATATTTATTCGATGTGTTTTGTAGTGCCAAAAAATCACTCAAGTGCTGGCTGAGCTTTTGCCATGGACAATCTGTCGGATATAATATACCATGGATTGATGATACTGACTACCTGGTAACTAAAAACTGATTTCAGACAAAAGCTAATTATGTATATATATATACAATTATGTACCAAAGTTGAAATTTATTCCATGCATACATATAACCCTCATAAAAGACCTTTTTTTTAAAAAGTCAAATCACACAGAGCTCCTCATTTATCAAGATTTACTTTTTTAACATTTAACAAAAAGTTGACATGCTCACAAATCTATGTCTAAAAGTTTGGATGTGTATTTAGTCTGTGATTGGCTGACAATGTAAATGTGATAATCTGTTAGCCAGTGTGTAAATAATGCTTACCGAGATGGTTTTCAGGGGCCTTGACATTGAATGTCGGAATGTGCTTTTTTTGTGCATTTTCTGTAAAAAGGTAGAAAATAAATAAATAAATGAATAAACATAACATGAATATCACAGACTTGTTTTTTATATTTGTACGGTTTGTTTGGTTAAAAGACATTGCTGAAAAATGTTAAAATGTATAAAGTAATATGCAAATTAGGCAATTAATATGCATATATCATTGCAAAACTGAATCTGTAGTTTCTTGAGATATACCAGTAGGTTGGACACAGTCAAATACAGAAAATGAGAATAAAACTTACTGATAACTTCTTCTAAATCTTCTTTTTCAGTGGGTTTTATTTGAGTGGGCAGTAGTGTTGTATCAGGAAAAGAACGTGTGGGAACTATTGCTTCTTGTCGTTTAACATCACAGTTAGAAGTTCCTGTAGCATCTGATTTTTTTTTTCCCGGCATCTATAATAAAAACATTTATAATCAAAAATCTACTGTAATTGTAATCACACATCAACATCATCTCTCTATAATCTGTTACTATTAAATTATTATTAGATATCATTTCAAAATATCAGTTTTTATTTGTTATTCAAAGTAAATATAAGATGTGAGAATGATCATCAAATCAATGTGTGATTTTATGATAGCTTAATAGTGACCTGACATGGTTGTTGATGGTAATTGCGCCCTCACCAACAACTCACTCAAACACAAACTACACTTGATATAATGCTGTAGCAAATAAAAGCTGCAGAAATGTTGTACTCTTCGCACCACATCATCAATGAAATTACTGATAAAATCAACAAAATAATAGAACCGATCATTGGTAAAATAATCAAAGTGTCTTTTCGAGATACAAGGACTTGATACATTATGTATTTGTTTGTATGTCAGCTAATTTTTAATTCTGACTGCAGCTACAGCATTTCAAATTAAAATGTAAAAATTGATATACTGGCTATTATGGAATGGCTGTCATCAACAACAAGCTTGACAAACTGATTGGTGCACACCTTGTTTGTGATAACAGAAAGCTACACTATCGGTGAGGGCGCAATAACTATTGCCAACCATGACAGGATAGGTATGATTTCTAATGCTTTATTACTACTAGCCATTAATATGTTGCACTGTAAGCAGTAATAAGTTAACTGTAAGTAATTGTATCTGTAATCACTTGTAACTGTAAGCACTTGTAACTGTAAACAGTTGTAATTGTAATTGTTACTGTAAGCAGTTGTAACTGTAAGTAATTGTAACAGTAAGCAGTTGAAGCTGTAAGTAATTGTAAGCAGTTGTAACTAGGTAATTGTAATTGTAAGCAGTTGTAACTAGGTAATTGTAACTGTAAGTAGTTGTAACTGTAAGTAATTGTAAGCAGTTGTAACTGTAAGTAATTGTAAGCAGTTAAAGCTGTAAGTAATTTGTAATTGTAAGCAGTTGTAAGTAATTGTAATTGTAAGCAGTTGAAACTGTAAGTAATTGTAACTGTAAGCAGTTGCAACTGTAAGTAATTGTAAATGTAATCAGTTGAAACTAAGTAATTGTAAGCAGTTGAAACTGTAAGTAATTGTAAGCAGTTGAAACTGTAAGTAATTGTAAATGTAAGCAGTTGTAACTGTAAGTAATTGTAAATGTAAGTAGTTGTAACTGTAAGTAGTTGTAACTGTAAGCAGTTGTAACTGTAAGTAATTGTAATTGTAAGCAGTTGAAGCTGTAAGTAATTGTAAATGTAAGCAGT